CTGACTTCAGATTGCACGGGTTCTCTCTCCAACTTGAAAGTCAACAAAAGCCCTTGTTCTGTAAATGCACAGCTCATGATTTTCCTAGTGCCCCTCATTACGTTACATGTAAGCACAAGTTTAGTTTCCTCTTTGTTCATTCTTTGCAATCATCCCATTCATTACCCCTGGTGTGCTTTATAATACTTTAATCCTTGCAGGCTCCTGCTCTCCTTGTTCTTCAGGGAGCCTGAATTCCCACAGGCACCATTCAGCTACCTACAGAAATCGCACACCTGCTTCTTGGTGCTCCTTGCCAATGCTGTAATGTTTGCTTCCTCTCATCGGCCCCTTCTGGCACAGGACTTCAAACCTCTCTTGAAGTGTCTTAGCTTAGAAATGCAGGGAGGTTAATGACTGAAGTGGGTCAAAGAGGAGAAAAACAAAAGCACGTGTCCCCAGCTCAGGTAAGAAGGAAGGTCAGTCTCCTGGCATCAGTCACCACTGGACCCACAGGTTTTGGACATGGGTTTGTGCAGCACCTGATATCATGAGATACCTAGAACCATTTTATTCCATCCCTTTGCACTGACCATTAAGTGATGCACACATTCCAGCCAGTAGGATCATTATGCTCTGTGTCTATTCCCACAGCAGCCTCATCAGTTGGAAGTTAGCCTTGCCATCATAAAGGAAACTTTAACAAAGCCTGTTCTGTTGAAAGTGAACATCTTGATGAGGCCTAATTTATTTCACAGTTGTTGTTATCCTGTTGACCTAAAATGACAGCAGGACACTTGGAGAAGTGCCCAGTTTATTTAAGAAGCAAGCACAAAATTGTCTCTCCCTGTCTGCAGGAAGAGCTTAGCAGCGTAAGGCACTGCTAGTACCTGGTCCCAATGCTCTGCCTGGCAGCTCCTGCCACTAAAAGCTCACTACGGCTTTTCTAAGGGCCACACCAGATCGTGTTGCTTTTATCTGTCTTTAACAGTTCCAGCGTCTACTTTGCACATCCCTTCAGGAGTGTTTTCAGTGCTGTGAGAGCTGGGAAAGTGTTGTGTGGTGCATTAGCATGACAATCTGGGTACGCTGCAGGAGTGACATGTGTTTGGGGGCAAGATCGGATGCCTGGGTGCAGGTAGGGAAAGTGCCCAGTCCTGGGGCAACCTGGGGTTTAGGACTTGTGTGGTGGCACACTCCCAGCTGCGGTGCCATCTCTGAGCCCCTGCCCACAGCTGTCTGCTGGAGCACACTCCTCACTGATCATGGTGTGCCCAGTATGTGGGGTCTGCCATGGCGAGTAGCTGCTGGAAAGCACGGAGCTGAACGAGGTGCACAGTGCAAGGCCAAGCGTCCAGGGGCGCACGCTGCAGTAAGGAGAAGTCCAACTGGATATAAGGAGAAAAATCACCATGAGCAAAGAATGGAACAAGAGCTCAGAGAGGTGATCTCGAGCCTTGGAGATTTTCAAAACTCAACTTGGCGAGACACTGAGCAACCTCATTGGATTTTGAAGCCAGTCTTGCTTTGAGCAGGGGGTTGGACTAGAGCCCTGCAAATTCCCTTCGGAGTGAAGTTACTCCATGAGAGAAGAGTTAAAGGTGTGTGCTGTGCACTTCAGCTCAAATTCTGCATCAGCTTCCCAGCTGCTTTTGTCCTGGGCAATGAGATGGGCTTGTCTTCCAACAGAAGCTCCTGTGAGATTAAGTACCTTCTTTTATAAAAGATTGAAGTGTCGTCTTATTATCTTCAATAAAAGAAAGTGGTTAGTCTTCCTAGCTTTATTGGGATTCATCTACCCACTGCAACTTATACCATTTGTCAAGCTAGATGCTGTACAATTTGCACAGGAAAAGCTGATGTCAGTCTAGCAGAACAGAGAAACACCTTCCATGCTTTTTGCTTAGAAGGAGCAGCTTTTAGACACAAGTGAGAGTTTGGAGGGTGATCTGAGATCTACCACAATAAGGAGCCCTTTGGGACCATAAGATGTGATGCTGCTGCAGTGTTAGCATTATATTAGTAACTTGTTCCCTGGATCCTGTTTAATCCCCTCTCATCCTCCATCCCGGTGTGGTCATTTGGGGGTTTTGTAGCTGGGTTTGAAACGTTCTATAATCTTCCAGTGATTCACGCCATCTTCCCATCTTGGAGATCTCATCTGAATACATCGCTTAAAAAACAAGTGAAGATGAGAGGGAAGTCCAATGTCAAGAATGCAAAGAAAACACTTTGGTGTGTAGGACTCTGCCTTAGGGAACAGTGTTGACAAATGCTGTTCTCTGGTTTTGCTTGTGTTACCCCTCCCCGGAGCCTGTTCCAGCCTTTCTGTGCTCTGACAACTAGAGATGCTCCCCTTATTTCCAGCACCGAAGAAAATAATGTCACTTATGTTGTCTCCCTTTAGTTTCCTTGGGCTCACCTTGAGCTCACCTTCCAACTGCTATCACTCAGCTTCCGCAGATCTTGCAAAAACAAATAAATTTGCATGATTAAGGGAGCCCCAGGAAGGCGTGAGGAGCCACATAATTTGTGTAGTAGAAACCTGAGCACAGGAACCTCAGGAACTACTCTGCTGTGATCCTGAGCATCGTTACCAGATCTTGCTTTAGTGAAGCTACACGTAGCCAGGAACACAGCTCTGTCTTAGCAGCAGCCAAAGTCACATCAGTCCAACATGGTATCTCTTGAGGGCAGTGCAGATTATGACTAATTTATGTTGCTGGTTTTGGCCCTAGCCAGACAACTTAATATGATACAAATTAATTACTGAAGACTAGAGCAAAGAGCTGTGTGCATGGAGTAAAACGCATGATCACTGGGCTGGACAGCATAAAAGCTGTGTTCATAAATGTAGGGTCATAAAGGTAGCTCTGTTGCATTAAAGCTGCTGTGTAAACGTGAATGCTTCAGGCTTTCAGCTTCTGCTGCTTTGTATTGAATACCTTATACCGAGAGAAGGGCAGGAGAAAACCATTTTCCAGTTTTGGAAAGCTGTGACCTGTGTCAGATCGGTACGTTCTGTGCCGCTTTTCCTGTATATTCCTGGTTGCTCGGCCTCTTCTTTCATCCTCACTTTTGTCCAATAGTAAATGATTATTCAGCGATCAAAAAGCTTGATTAGGGAAACGTGAAGGATGTCCAGAGGAACATACTGAGCTCAGAAAACCTCAAATTTAGAAGAAACTAGAAATGGACTTTTAGACCCTTCCTGAGTATGGAGCTGGCTGTGACCACAGGGATTATTTGCAAGCAGTCCAGTTGTATTGCTTGTGTGAATGGCAGGGGGATTAGAGGGAGGAGCTGGGCAGAGCTGGGACGGTGACAGGAGATAATCTGTGTGAGCTGCCCCTTGGAGGGACAAGACCCTGTGACTAATCCCCATCTGTAGGATCATATGGAGTGGCTGCGTAGCAGGGGTCATCCTGTGTACCACTCACCTCTCGGTAAATGGGTACGACGGCCTTCTAGGCACAAGTCTCATCGGCTCTCAGCATGTGTCAGTGCACAGGAGAGGTGTGCTAGGTGCACGTAAGTGAGAAGGGATCATAAATATAGACAATTCCCTGACCTTTTCTGTGGAGAAGGCTGGGAGATTGAAGGAAAGCTAAAGGCAGTCAGATTAAAGACAAAGTCTATGCATACCTGCTTTGGGGATGATGAAGTGACATTCAAAAGGGGCAGAATTAAGGACAGACAGTTCCTGAGTTTCAGAAAACAGGACTGGAAAATTCTGGAGTAGCACAAGGCTAACCCTCTGGATATCGATTCTTTTTTTTGCAGTCAGTGTCTTTAATGTTTTTACTTTTTAATAAAATTGAGGTATTACTCCCTCTGCCATTTTTTCTGAGGTCTGGCATCCCACTATGTCTCCCTCTCCGGTCCCGTCACAGTCGCCCAGGGCACAGAGCTCCCTGTTGGAGAGGGGGAGCAGGGGGTGGGCTCAGCCCCCTCTCACCCTTGCATCCCCGTACTCGCCAATGGCGCAGGGGCCATGGGACACTAGAATAGAAGCTGGAGGCCACTCATTTCAAACGTGGTAATATTGACTTCATCTGCTGCTTGCGTACTCCTGAGAGACACACTTTTTTTAGGATCAAAACGCTCAACAGGCGACACGAGTGCTTGGTGGTGCCGAGCACAGCCCAGAGAAGCTCAGACATCCCTAAACCCCAAATCTTCTTCCTCTTGTCTCCTGCCCTTTGCCCAGGGGACATCCTCTCACGCTGCTGCTGGAAAACAAAGGTGGACCGCACCTGTAGGACCTCCCCACCTCTGCTGAAGGCTGGCTCTAACCTGTAGGAGAGCGCTGCTGGGGTTCAAAGGCCTCTGGGGTGCTCCTTGGCCAGAAATCTCTCCTCCGCACTGCCCCCCCGAGATGTGCCCGTCCCGACGGACAAGCTCATCGCATCCCCCTTACGTCGTCCCCCCCCCGAAGGACAAGGAGCACCGGGCAGGGGCTGCGGCAGCCGC